TATATATATATATATATATATATATATATATATATATATATATGTGTGTGTGTGTGTGTGTGTTTGCGCGACAATATACCGGCGTTACACACTTTTGTAAAGTCGTCGATTTTATGAATCCCGCGATACGCGCCGTAAGTCCCGAGAATTACGCACCACGCCACAGCGATACGGCCGGCGATTCGCTTCCGTTCATTATGCACGTGGCCGTTAAGCGGCGATAAACCGCCAGTAATGTTATTCAGCCTCGTCTCCGAAAATCCGGTCTTTGATCGCCGTAAAATAATCAGAGCGCAGCCGGAACAATCGTCGATCGTCGTGATCATATATTAATAACCGCAGTCAATGGTGAAAATCGTGATTAAACAGAAATGCCGTAGTGGCGTCTCGATACTCTCCACTGGATACATATGAAACTTTAACTAGCGCATACGTTAGTCCGCATTATAAAAAGAGAATGTCGCGCGATTCAATGAAATTATCGCGATTTTCGCCGACCGAAATCTATGCGATTTGCCAGCGCTCACTGGATAATTACGTTAACTTTTGTTTAGTAACTAAAGAAAGTGAAGTTACTCCCAATTAAGATGTTTTTGCTGCAGACGAAAGATGCGCAAAATTGGAACCTGCTTCTCGAGCGAGAATACAATAAAAAATGTTACAGGAAAACCATTTCATCGATTAACAAACCTGCTGATTATACGATAAGCCTTAACAATATCATTTTTCATGCATGCTTCTTAACTGACAGATTTTAATACTAATGAGAATCATAGCGCGAGAAATTCTTAGTATATATGTCCTTCATCTTTTACGTGACGTCTTTCATAACTATCAAATGATGTATGTCCTTTTATCCATTCTTGCAGTGGTATTAATTCATCAAGTGCTGAATTGTCATATCAATTTTGAAATTTGTATTATTAGCATCAGAATAACCTGATGTGTTCTCATCGCAATGAAATCCTGCACATACCTCATTTGTCTTGTTTTTCTCACTTTTATTCCTCACTTTAGTAGTCACTTCTGTCACGGGGTTCAATATTGCCCATACACATGCCCTGTTTCCTCCAATTTCCCTTTCTTTATCCTGTTCTTTTGTCCTGTGCGTTCATTCATTGCTCACACAATTTTAAGCTCTTTTTTAACAATATAAATAAATATATTTTAGATTTATTCACGATAGATATTATCATATGTGCACGTTGTAAAGTTGAATTAGTATTACTGATACTGCGTCTTAGGAAGAATACGATCCATATATTGCAGTGAACTGCCTCAACCACTGGACAAACTTCCATCAAGTCCTAGTTGAGTTCTCGCACAGTATTTTTGCAAGAACAAAGAATGCGTTAATATCAGACAATAACTGGGGGGATGTCTACGCAAAGTGCATATATTTCTGCCAGGAGTAATCCCGCCGCGATTATTCGACGCTTCGATAAGCTGTATCGGCCGGCGTAATAAAATTCACACGTTGCGGAGCATCGCAGGGCTGCACGGCTATGAAAGTGTGAGCAACTTTGTGCTTCGCCCTTGTGCTTCGCGTGCGCGCACGCGTATACACACACACACAAGTCAATGTATGTATAGATAAAACCCCCCCTTGTTCTCCTCGTCGACAAATTTCATTAATCGCAGCTCGACTAGCTTCTCCACGCGTATGAATATCTCGCCGTACTCTGTCTCTTTCTCTCTCTCTCTCTCTCTCTCTCTCTCTCTCTCTCTCTCTCTCTCTCTCTCT